ACTCACACCCACATTCACGTCCACATCCACCCCACACCCACATCCACTTGGCACTCATGGCCATACCCTCACCCATACTATGACCCTCGCGCTCAGGTTTTTAGTGATAACGATTTGTGTGCTGATTATTCCTAGTGCTGAACGTTCCGTGCTGAAAATTCCGGTTCCCTTGTGAGACATCTCAAAAGTTTTTTTTTCTAACTAGATTAATATAATAAAAAAAAAACTTCATACTTTCTACAGTCTTTTTGCTAAAGCACACAGATTACGAGCACGACCATAATTTCTTTGAGCATTTAATTCATTGTTTTCATCTTCTCTTTGTTGATCACCTATTTCTTCTGAGAAAAGAGCAAGATCAATGACTAACTTAATTAGAAGACGTTTATCATCGGCGAAGATACCATCGATCTTGAAATACGATCTTGAAAATCGTTGCAAAGTAATTAATTCATTAGTTGAACAACGAATAAGAATTGAATGAATATTAGGGGTTTAGGACAGTTGCTCGACGGACAGTTGCTCGACGGACAGTTGCGCGCGGACGGTTGCTCGACGGACAGTTGCTCGATAGGACAGTTGCTCGACGGACGGTTGCTCGATAGGACATTTGCTCGATAGGACACTTGCTCGCGAATATCGAAGTAAATATATGAATGAAATATATGAAAATATTCTTAAATAACAACAATAGTAAATGAACAATAACAGAAAACAAAAAAGACAATCTACAACGATAATAAACGTCCGATATATTTTAATTGATCTTTGATATCTGTATGTGGATTTTGAACCAAATTGTATAGCCGTGTATTTAATGATTCGTTTTTTCGCTTGGATGGTTGACTACCAGACATTGCATTAATGATATCTGAATGGATATTATTTTCTTCTTTGATTAATTTATCGAGAAATGTCCATAATGTTGGATGTTTACATTGAAATGCACAGTTCAATTTTCGATGCCATGCTTCAACGTGATTGTTTGTTCGATGCATATTGTTCTTTACACGCACTGCCATATTCCACAAGTCAATAGGAAACATTGGTGTTCGTCTTGAGCGTCTAACAGGACGGCCGATATAAGTATCTTCAAAGTAGTCGAGAATTTGTTGGTATTCATCGCCAAGATCTGAACATAAAAATTCAAAACCATTAACAACTTGATTTGGTTCAAGAAACGCTAATGCCAATATCTTATGTATATTATCAGCAAATATAATATCAGTTTCATAATTTTTCTTGAAACCATTATCCTGAATACAGAAGACGAAATAAAAATGGAACTGGTATTGATTTTTGAGAAAAATCTTACTTGTAAATATCGTTGAACACTTTGACTGAGATGAAAGAAACAACCACTAAGTTCGGCTGTTGGAAAAGCACCACTAAAGACATTGATTAATGCTTTTTCAAAATCCATCATGATTCGTCGCGGAGACCATCCTGGAACTAAGGCAATTATGTCATTGATCATTTTTTGGTAGATTTGATTACTTTTGCCAGGTAATAGAATAAATGATACTGGTAACACATGTTCACGATAATTAGCATGGATAACAAAAAGTTGGTAGAAAATTTCCGGTACAACTTTGAATGTTCCATCGATGAAGAATTCCTGTAAAATAACGGAGTTTTTAATTATCAATAAGTATACTTTGTAAAAACTTACTGTGGCATTTTCCATAATATTTCGTTGTTCATCAGTAAAAAAAATTAATAATCGATCTGATGTTGGGCCAGTATCTTTACGCAAAAATATTGTGTCACGTGTTGTTTGATGGTATTTATCTGGAACAACTGGAAAATCGATGGTTGAAGGTGTTGGTGCAACATTGATCTCTTGTCGCCAACGACGAATATTTCGTTTCAAATGGTCGTTGCTTGTCAATTGAACACGTACTTCATCTTGAACACCGATATTGACTTGTGTTAAAATATTGTGCGGATTGGTTTGATTTTGTTCAGATTCTTTTCGTAATCGATCATAATATTGCCGAATTGGTCCAGAACGTGGATCTGCAGTATGATTTTCATGATCACCAGTGGTTCGAATAAATACATTGTTTAAATCCGTCTGTAATCGTCCACGACATTTAAATTTCTTGGCATGTTCGCATTTCCATAATATTTTCTTGTCGTTTCGTTTATCAATAATGTAAGAATATCCGTCGTGAATAAGTAACGAAGCGTTTTTTGAGGTTGTTGAAAGAGTAACTGACATTATTGTTTTCTTAATGCACTGTTCTGCGACTGACACCGCTTTTATATAAGTATGATTGAATACGACTAAACATTACAGAGATAATGACTGTCTGCTCTACATATAGACTAATCAGCTCAGTCAATTTTGTCTTGAATTATTATACTGAAAATTAAGCGATCATGTCATTCGCGAGCAAGTGTCCTATCGAGCAATTGTCCTATCGAGCAACCGTCCGTCGAGCAACTGTCCTAACGAGCAACCGTCCGTCGAGCAACCGTCCGCGCGCAACTGTCCGTCGAGCAACTGTCCGTCGAGCAACTGTCCGGATCCCAATATTAGCAAATGTACTGCTACGACATACAATATCTTGAATATTAATGTCTGTTTGAATCACCAGAGATGCAACTTTTAATGAAGAATAGGTATTCAACCAACACCACAATTGTTCTTCTGTCGAGAAGAGAATTAAAGTTATATCTTCAGTAATTAAATATTCCATAAGAGCTGTTCTCAATGACGAGTTCTTCTCACCAAACCATAGTACTATAAGATCGCCATGATGTACTAAAAGAACACAGAAAAAAAAAGTATAAACATTTTTTTTCTAGTATCCGAAGTATCATAAGGATCCTTCGGTACTAGAATTACTTCCGTACCATTACCATGAATCAAGCAAGACTGTTTGTATCGATCAGAAAATTGATCGATCGACTTAGCATTATCATCGATAGTTACATTATTTTTAGGCAATGATTGTAGTAGTTCAATATCTGTAGACAGTTGAACAATCGATAACATATTTGCACAAGATGTCATGTAATTTTTGTAGATTTTTTTCAATTAAAGTAAAAGTAAAACTATTGATTATGAAAAATAAAATGAAAAAAATCTGAAAAATAAATACGCCATGTATTGTTTGAAACTACAAAAAGCAAAAACATGAACTGGAAAACGAATAAAATTTTGATGAAAGTTAAAAGATGATATATCTTCTACAAACCATTTACATACTGAAAATGACGCAGAACATCATGTTTTATACGTGTAAAATGTTTTTTCCCAAAAAAAAAGAAAAGAACGAAAGTATGAGACTGGGAAAAAACCCAGTCGGTTACAAAGAAATCAAGTTAAGATCATATCAAAACTGAGAATAATATCTTTCTTATAATTAACTAAATTGCAATAAGAATCAATATATAATGTTATTGATTTAATAGATCTCAGCTTATTGAAATTTTTAATACAGACAAATAAAACATTATTTTTACCATAAAATTATCTGTCTTGTGATCTTCTAACATTTACTCTTCTTACTAAAATCGATATGAATGACTTACAGACTACTATGCAGAATAAGACTATTTATATACTTCAAAAAAACCCAGCTATCTTGGAATATTCCAAGCAAAAAAAAGAACAGAACAGAAAAAATTATTTATTTATTTTTCTTTTATCATAGAACTGGAGCTGTATAAAATTTGTCTCAGACACTACTTCATTGATCTCATCGGAGAATAAATAAAAGATTCTTTTTTTTTTCTGACTCATTTTCATATACCACCTGCTTATTGTTGGTTTGTTTGCCATTTTTTCCCAGTGCATACTCTGTCGAATTAAAAAAAGCAACATTCGACATTTTTTTTTCTTTTTTTTTATGACAGTAACTGATGAAAGGTTAAAAAGTATTAGGTGATGATTAATATATATCAGAGGAGTAGAATACTTGTTATTGTTATCAAATGTAATAAATATGTTATGAGAATAGATGCAATTTGAATCATCAACTAGGATGTAGTTGTGGGTGATGATCAAGACAACACAGATATCGACACTCACAATTCGACATGTGCGTACATTCCTGTGAGATGTGGCTACCATTGATGGTGACTGACTTTTCCTTCTATGTACTTCAGCATTCATGCATAAGCACGTGGATTTTATTTTTCGTGCATTAGATAGTTTCATTTTTGTTCACAAAAATAATATTGAACTAACTGAAAAGAAGAGTTCATTGTATGTATATTTGATTGATGATGATAAATGAATCATGTCAATTGTTTATTAAGGGATTTCCTCAGAAATGATTTCCAACTTAGAATGGATCGTTTGGGCTGAAATTTTCAGGAACAATTGGCTCTAATGAGAAACGCTTGTAGTAAAAATTTCAGCCTGATATACCTGACTAGACCGAACTTCCGGCATGTTTTCCCACCTTCCAGGAGAATCGAAATAATTCCATCATTAGAAAGGATACATAGCTCGAACTGGTTTCAAATTAAAGCTAGCCTCTCTGCACAACTTTTCATCAGACGAAATCTTAAAACTCCCTTCCATTCATTTTTTATGACAGTTTTTGTGGACATGGTGTGCAAAATAAGCATAAAAAAGATGTCACTCCACGACAGTAAATTCCACTTTTCTCAGCTCTGAAATCAAGTATCAAAAATCCGTCCCAGGAAAAGTTAGTTCTGATTCAGACCTTTAAAACAAAAAAACAACATCGGTGATACCCCCGAATTGAGGGAGAGTTATTTCAATTTTCCTGTCTAGAAACTGTGTTTTGAGAAAAACACTAAAGAACTTTTAAGAATGGATTTTTCTGTTCCAATCCAGAACAAATTATATTACAATGGTATATTTTTAATATATTCCAGTGAACCGTGTTGAAGTACGTAATAGATGAAGGTAGCAAACACTATCTGACATGCAGGTTAATATAAAAATATCCTATTCAATGATAATGCAAGTGGTAGCACAGTTTTTCTGAAACTGAAAAGTTTTAAAAACCTCGACAATTTCTCGGAAAATATGGTAGCAGAGTCGAAGTTTCATGTGATAAGTTTTTGAAAATCTGGTCATTTTCCAAAAGCTATATATATTCTGAAAGAGAAAGCTTCACTACATCTTCCTGTGATAAAAACTCAACTTCAATATTTCCTTGAAAAATTCGATTTTCTAAAGGGGTTCCTTAAGGCACATATTGTGTGTGGCTGTGGGCGTGAATATCTGTGTCAAGTAGTTTTTTCATGTGAAGTAGCAGGTGTGTTTTGATAAGAAAAAACACATGACAAGTCGCTTGTTATGTGTCGTAGTAGTTAGGTCAAGCAGCTACATTGGCAGAAGAAATCTAACAATAAGAGCAACTTTCATGCAGCGAAGAGTTTCCGAGGCTTTCTAGGAGAATTATCAAAAACACCGAAATTTTGTTGATACGGATACAATATAAAGATCACGATTACTGAAAAGTAATTTTGAATGCACTGCTGTCAAAGACAGCCACGCTCAAGAGATTCTGTAAATAAATTTTTAACTTTATTTTGATACTTTAAAACTTTTATAAACATGAAGTAAATAATTTTATTCTTCGCTGCTAAAGTAGGAATTTGTTAAACATGGTCTTCAGAGTTGAACAGCCATCGCGAGTAAAGACTATCTATACTGTAGAATGAAAATTCATAAGGAAAATGCCACAATTTACTCGTCGAAGATAGAACAACCACATATTTAAACAAAAACAGTTTGATATTCAAAATGGATGCGAGAACAAAAACGATCATCACCAATAGAAAAATAGTAAGAATGTGGATGGTTTAAGTCATATAGACATATACGGAAGAGTGGGTGGGGGAGAGTATATGAGAGAATACTAGATCTGCATCCACACCCACCGCGAAATAAAGATTATACAGGAAGCAAAAATTTTTTTGATAATTATTAAAATTTCGAGTGCTCGGATTTCCGATCACTCGATACTGTACGGTTTTTATCAATCGAAACCCATTGATAAAAGAAAAAATACTTGAAAATTAAATCCAGTGCGGAGCCTTCGACCTATCGGAAAATGGCACTCCGAAGGCTTGATTTTGAGATTCGATGCCCATCGACACCTGAAATCGACAGTTCGAAATACCTATCGAATGACTGGTTGGGCAGAAACTTCAATTTTTAAGAAACAATCGACGACTTGACGGTGTAAGTGTGGAACTTTATCTCCTCACTCATAGTCCTTATCTACACCCCACCCACACCTCTAGGTATTATGGAAAAAAAATTCTTATAAAAAAGCTTGTTAGTCCAGCCTCTTTGGTGCTGAAATGTGAAACTCATATATCTTCTTTAGCTTGATGATAGTAATACAAAATACAGAAAGTATAAAATCGAGAATTTTCTTATTTTTTTTCTGATGGGCGCTCTATGTGCTGTTTTCATTGTTGTTATTCGCTTGTTATTTTTCGTTTTTGTATTTCTTTTTTCTTAATTTAATAGTTGTATTATTATAAGCTTTGAATTAAATGGCAAATAAAACTGATATATATATTCATGATTCAATCCTGGATGTTGAGGTATGTAATCTGGAGCTGTCTGTAATGGGGAAGAGAGAGAGAGCAATGGTTGCTACGGTTTGTAGTTTTGGTAGGGAAGTGGGGAAGCCTCAAAAACCTTGATTTAAACCTGCACTCACTATTTTCATCGAACATATATACGAGTTTCACAATAGAGCACTTGGAAAAACAGAATCCTTCAAGTCAAATTCGAGTTAGTTTTGATCTCTGGATGTCATAAATTTTCAATTGCTCCATTCCAGTGTAATCTTTGAATTCTATTCGTTGTGCTGGTTCGATAAGATGTTTTGTACATTTTGAAATCATTCCAGTTTCTAAAAGTATCTTTTTTGTGTGACATTCTACTAACAGTTTTTTGGTATTAGTTAATCGCATTTCAAAGAAAATATTTGTTAGCTTTCCCATTGCACCATATGCTCTTATGAAGCAAATAAAGTTGAGAAATTCTCTCTCTCTCTCTATCTGTGTTTTAGTAGAAGTAAATCACTATTTTATCATAAAAACTCGAATGTACTGCACTTGATTGTAATACCAACGATGAGTTCAATTTATTTTGAAAAAACATGTGAATCAACTTTGAAATTTAATGATGAGATTCTGAAAGTATGACAAAGTTTTTTTATTAAACGATCTACTCGACACTCTATGTTGTCTGTAATGAACGAAATCATCATT